AAAAAGCCGCATACACAATCATACTTCATTGGTTTGTCCTATTTGTGGCTAAACTCCAATGCAGACTGTGCGGGATTTCATATTAATGGCCATGTCTTTCTTTAATAATCAAAGTGGGTCTCCAGCTAGTTAAATGGATTAGAAAATGACAACAAAAGCAAGAGTTTTTCATCCTAGCGAGCTACTGCTGCATGTTGTAGACTGTTTCTGAGTTGGGAAAATGTGAATTAGAAACCAATTTTTCCCAAAGCCAGGCTCTTGGGGGTTACTCAGAATCCCCACCCAGTCTAAACCTTCTCACTCCTTCCCATAGACTATGGGCATTTCACATGCTTTATTTATGAAGGAAAAGGTGTTTAGGCCTATATTTGTAAGTCTTACTTTTATTGAGATTCTTTTCTCAATGACAAACTATTTTTAATTATTTATTTAATGAATTCTATTAATTTATATAAATTAATTAAATTAACACACATACATGTTAATGTAATTAATTTATTATTAATTAATTTATTAATTAATAAATATATACGTTGAACTCTGCGTGGTTCCCAACCAGCAATAATCTAGTGTAGACTTCTGTAAATTCATCAATCTACTGGCAGAAATTGAAATTGTGACAGATACATTATAGGTGCAATAGAATTTTCCAATAAGGTTAGTCCTCAACGTACGGCCACCATCGAGCCCAAAATTTCTGTGGTGAAAACATTTGCCAAGTGAGTTTTGCCCCATTTTATGACCTTTCCTGCCACCGTGGTTAAGTGAATCACTGCAGCTGATGAGTTAGCAACCAGGCTGTTAAGTGAATCCGGCTTCCCCATTTGATTTTGTTTAGCAGAAGGTCGCAAAAGGTGATCACGTGACCTTGGGACACAGCCAGTGAGTCAGTTGCCGAGCATCCGAATTTTGATCACATCATCATGGGCAGGGGTAGGCAACCTTGGCTCTTTTATGACTCGTGGACTTCAACTCCCAGAATTCCTGAGCCAGCTATGCTGAGGGGAAATGGAGAGGTTTCCAAGCTGAGCCATGCTGGCTCAGGAATTCTGGGAGTTGAAGTCCACGAGTCATAAAAGAGCCAAGGTTGCCTACCCCTGATCATGGGGATGCTGCAAAGGTCGTAACTGTGAAAAACGGTCATAAGTCACCGTTTTCAGTGCTTTTGTAACTCTGAAAGGTCACCAAGCGAACTGGTGTAAGTTGAGGACTCAAACCAACTGATCAGCCCACGGCCCTTGCAGTCTTTAACATCATTCAGCCTGGCCCAAGCTGCACCTTGCAATCTTCTCCTGCTGTAAGAAGTTTTTCGTCAGAAAGGAACCGAGCCGCGGAGATGCATCCAGAGTGAGCCTTGAATGAACCCAGGATGATAGCCTCCTGCCACGACCAGAGGGTGATGGAGCCAGCCAAAGTACCTGCTGCCAAAACTTTCCCAGTGGAAGAGAAGGAAATGGAATGGATGGAGGCATCGTGGTCCTTCATGACCTAGAAGAGATAACGGTTGTCAAAAACAACTGTCTGCTTCCTCAAATCTCCCAGAGCAAGTTCCATGGACTGGTAAGTCTTCATCAATCATACATCTCCCAGTTATATGCCGTGTCCCTCTCAACCTTACCGAGACCTTGCTTATTCCATTTGCATCCAAGACGGTGACCGATCTGTCCCATCCACCGGTAGCCACCAACTGACCCATTGGATGAAAGGTCACGCAGTTCAAAGGGCACGGGAAGTCCCACTGGTGGAGCACATGTCCTTGGGCAGCTTCCCAGAGCTGAGAATTTTTTTAAAAAAATAGTGAGAAATTGAGGGGGAAGGTTTTACAATTGCTGCCATTATTCCCCTAATGCTGAATTTAGACTTAGTCCCTGCAGTATGAGAAGCTATAATGGTTCTATTTGGCAACTGCTGACAGAGAAAACAGGGCAATAACTGAACTTTAACTTGGTTAAAATACCACTAAGATGCATTATATAGGGTGGAACAGGGTGGCTGACGCCACTAAGATGCATTGTGCTGGATCAATGTAACCCTGACTAGAGCATATAGATCTGTATGTTAGAATGTTTGGCATTTATTGGGTTAAGCGCTGTCTCCTTAAGAGATGGCTTATGGGTAATGTAGTTTAGCTATTTTAGTTGATCCCACGTTAACAGGTCAGTAGGAGGGGCTACTAAGTTCTTCACAGGATATCCTGGCTACATGCCAGTTTGGAATGCCTTTGTCTGAGATAAGCATGGGACCACCGCAGGACACACAGAGTCCCATTCCACGTTAGAAGTTGATATGGAGGAATTATGGATTTCTTACTGTTTTGATCCTGAACTAAGATGCTTTGCAATTCAAGATCAGACAGATGACTCAATAAAGATGATTGTAAAACAGATATTTATTCAGGTATACTTGCAATTATGTAGTTTCTTCTGGATATGGTACATCTGTTCATCCTTCTAGGTAAGAAATCAATAATTCCTCCATATCAACTTCTAACGTGGAATGGGACCCTGTGTGTCCTGCGGTGGTCCCATGCTTATCTCAGACAAAGGCATTCCAAACTGGCACGTAGCCAGGATATCCTGTGAAGAACTTAGTAGCTCCTCCTACTGACCTGTTAACGTGGGATCAACTAAAATAGCTTAACTACATTATCCATAAGCCATCTCTTAAGGAGACAGCGCTTAACCCAATAAATGCCAAACATTTTAATATACAGATCCAGCACAATGCATTATAGGGGGTGGTTTAAACAAAAGGGGCAAATACATGCAGAAACAAAGCATATTTGAATAAATTAATGAGTTCATGTGAGCCAAAGAGGAAAGCTTAATTTATATAGACTTCCATATACAACAAATGTAACAAATAAACTTAAACATCTGAAATGTTGAGGGCCCCTCCCAGACAATGAGGCTCTAAACCAGGGTTTCTCAACAACTTGAAGGTGTGTAGGCTTCAACTCCCAGAATTCCCCAGCCAGCCATGCTTAAACCCAGTTCTGTATCCCCCTCCCCTACACCCAGTCAAGAATACCTTAAGAGTGCCATCCAGTGATACTGAAGCTAATAGTTTACAATCTGAATTGATGCAGCAGTCTGTAATTTGGGCCTTGTGGGCATCCTTGCTCAGGTTCCTAAAACAATAAAGAAACAGGAAACCTGAAGCAGCACTTAGATGTGGTGGCTTGCTGATCTGAATTAATGCAGGATCACTAACTCTTTTTTAAAATGTACATTCATTACGGGTTTTACGTCAGGTAATCGACAAATTTAAACAAGACGAAGGAAAGCAAAGAAACAATGGAAAAGAAAACAAAAAAAAGTTATGAAATATAGTGAGTTCCAACCTACTGTGTAAACCAGGGGTCTTCAAACTTGGCCCTTTTATGACTTGCGGACTTCAACTCCCAGAATTCCTCAGCCAGGCACGCTGGCTGAGGAATTCTGAGAGTTGAAGTCCACAAGTCATAAAAGGGCCAAGTTTGAAGACCCCTGGTGTAAACAGTTCATTATCTACCATCCCTCTCAGCAGAACAACAAATGGCTGTCCAATCTTTTCTTGAAATATTTTATCTTGAAATAATCTGGAATCTTTCCATAGACATTTGATAAATCACTTCCATGCCTCACTTAATCTGCATCTTTTTCGGTCACCCAAATCATAAATCATCGTATCATTATTTTTTTTTTTACATTCTTTCAGCAACAGCTCCCTATCAGGTTTCCAGTCTTTCAAATAAGTTTCTCTCATTTTTTTCTTCGTCTAATCAAACAAGTTAAATTTGTCATCTAGGGCAAGCTCTGACATTTTTACAATATACTCCTCCACTGTGGCAGGAGTATTAAGCTTCAAAGAAGGGCACTAGAAGAAAAAAAAATGAGCCGTTAGTGCAAGAAAAATAAAGACTGAACAGCCAAATCTCTCCCCCTTTTTTAAAATCATTTGGCTCTAAGTCAATTGGATTTTCATTTTTTTACATTTCCTGTCTCAAACCAGACAGAAATTATGTCCTGATCTTTGCATGTGTGGCTGGAAGGAGATCCAAAGGTGCTGATAAAGAGAAACCAGGATCTACAGACCATCACATTGCCCACCCCCAAGGATTTAAACTGTAGCCCTACTTTAAATTTTACAAATACAGGCTGTCAACCCCCTCCAGCCTCATAATTCTATGGGTGGCATCTCCGTTTCCTTTTTTTTCAGAATAACAAGAGTTGAAAGGGACTTTGGAGGTCATCTAGTCCAACCCCCTGCTCAGGCAGGAAGCCCTATACCATTTCGGACAGATGGTTGTCCAGTCTCTTCTTAAAAATTTCCAGTGTTGGAGCATTCACAACTTCTGGAGGCAGGTTGTTCCACTGGTTAATTGTTCTAGCTATCGAGAAATTTCTTCTTAATTCTTCTCTCCTTGATTAGTTTCCATCTGATGCTTCTTATCCTGCCTTCAGATGCTTTGGAAAATAGGTTGACACCCCCCCCCTCTTCTTATTTGGCAGCTCCTCAGATATTGGAACACTGCTATCATATCATCTCCAGCTGTGGTTAATCTCTATTTCAGGTAGTCTCAACTTACAACCATTCATTTAACGACCATTCAAAGTTACAACGGCACTGAAAAAAACTGACTTATGACTGGTCCTTACACTTCAGACTATAACAGTGATGGCGAACCTATGGCACGGGTGCCAGAAGCGGCACTCAGAGCCCTCTCTGTGGGCACACGCGCCGTCGCCCCAGTCCTAGGCCTTCAGCTGGGTTTTATAAAACCTTTTCGCTTTAGGCCTCCACCGCCGTGTACAAAAAAAAAGGTTCAATCAGTCAATTTCAACTTCTCGCGGGAAAAAAAAAATCTTGCCAAGTTGGAATTGATTGGTTGAACTTTTTAGTCCCACCCAGTCTGCTGTTACCACTGCAGCCATGCCCACCCAATGGGCCACGCCCACCCAACGGGCCATTCCCACCCAATGGGCCACACTCACCCAGTACCCGAAGATTCATAAGTGGGTTTTGGGTTGCAGTTTGGGCACTCGGTCTCTAAAAGGTTCGCCATCACTGGACTATAGCCTCATTCCCATGATCACGTGATCAAAATTTGGGTGTTTTGGCAACCCCATGTTGCAGCATCCCAGAGTCATGTGAACACTATTTTTTAACCTTCCTGACAAACAAAGTCAATAGGCAGATTCATTAACCATCACAGGATTGGTTTAACAACTGCAGCGATCACTTAACAACCACAAAGGAAAGATTGCAAAATCAACAACGATTCACTTAATGACCGTCTTGCTTAGCAACAGAGATTCTAGTCCCAGTTGCAGTCGTAATTCCAGGACTATCTATATTCAAGATAATTTTTTTCCCCCCTCAGTACGGATTTACCTGCATCCTTCTCTCAAGCTCCAAAGTTCAAAGCGTCCATTGAAGGCCCCGAGGCAAACGGTTGCTTCAGACAAGAATGCGCAAGCCGAGATTCCGTCACAGGAGGTCAACAAGGATTTCTGCTCCTAAATCACGGGAAAGAGAATTTGCAGATGGAAATCAGATCCAACTATTTCCCTCACCGACCAGGCTCATCTGATGCAAACATTTTGTGCTTGTGTGGATTTGGGCAGAGGGCTCTGAAGCAGCAAGCCTACACAGGCTTTAATTTCAAAGGTCAAAAGGATGCTTTTAGCAGTTTTTCTTCTTTGTTCTGGGGTGCCACTCACTCCGAGATCCTTTTTTGTATCGCTGAAAGTAACATACAGATAATCCTCGAGTTACGAATGTCATCGATCCAGCCAATTACATTCGTAACCCACGGATTCGTTAACCGAATCACGTTAAATGAAAGTAATCCTTCCCTGCTTGACCCGATGCATTCGCTAATCGAATGCACAGGTCATTAAATCCTCAGGGTCACCAGAGTAGTTGCAAATGTGTGTGGAGCCTTCTTGGCTGCAGGATGTTTTCTGCTCCGCACACATCTGCATTACTCGGGTGACATTGAGGACGCAGATGAACCTCCAAGTGGCCTCAACGACTCTCTAAAAGAATGCAAATGACCAGCTGTCTGTGAGGAGTATAAATCTTTCCATTCGCCACCATCTTGTCAGAGCTGAAGAAGCTTCTTGGATGAGAAGTGAAATGTCTTCAAAGAAAAGGAGTTGGGTATGTCTAGTTTAATGAAGAGAAGGACGAGGGGGGACATGATAGCAGTGTTCCAATATCTCAGGGGCTGCCACAAAGAAGAGGGAGTCAGGCTATTTTCCAAAGTGCCTGAGGGCAGGACAAGAAGCAATGGGTGGAACCTAAGCAAGGAGAGAAGCAACCTAGAACTAAGGAGAAACTTCCTGACAGTGAGAACAATTAACCAGTGGAACAACCTGCCTCCAGAAGCGGTGAATGCTCCAACACTGGAAGTTTTTAAGAAGAGACTGGACAGCCATTTGTCTGAAATGGTGTAGGGTTTCCTGCCTGAGCAGGGGGTTGGACTAGATGACCTCCAAGGTCCC